ACTTCAACCGCTATTTACCAAACATCACTAAATGGCCCATTTAGCTTTTTGGAGGTTGGTCAAAGAAGCTGAATTGGCGTTTTGCTCAAAACGCCAATTAACAAACAAAGCAAATTTATTTTTGGAGTTTTATCAATACAAGGCCTCAAAGATGGGTAAACTATCAATGCGGGGCCTGAAAGATTTTTTTTCTCAATTCGGGACCTAAATGTTATAAAGCTATCAAATTAAAGACCCGAAATATGGGTAAACTATCAATGCGGGGCCTGAAAGATTTTTTTTCTGAATTCAGGACTTAAATGTTATAAAACTATCAAATTAAGTCTAGAATTAACAAAACTCAAAACACCATTAAATTTAAAGTTAAAAAAAAAAGATTGGTGATTATTTTTTAAAAAAAAAATAATATTTAATTATTAGATTTTATTTCATACTCATTCACATTTTTAAACTATCAATGCATATGAATGAAATTTCAATAAGCATAATAGTCAATTTAAATATAAAAATCATATTAATTATTTACTTAATATAATTATTTTTTTTATTCTTTTTAACAACAAACACAAAATATTTATGAGGATAATAATATTATAAACACTTAAGAGTACGAATGGTTATAAATTATGTAAAAATGTTTGAATGAAAAAGTGAGTTAAAGACTAGAAAAATTGATGGAAGAATACAAAGTTTAAAAAAATGTGAATGAATATGAAAATAAAATATAATAATTAAATATTATTTTTTTTAAACTCTAGATTTAATTGTGTTATGAGTTTTTTTTTTAATTCTACACTTAATTTGATAGTTTTATAACATTTAAGACCCGACTTGAGAAAATAATCTTTCAGGCCCCGTATTGATAGTTTACCCATCTTTCGGGTTTTTAATTTGATAGTTTTATAACATTTAGGTCCCGAATTGAGAAAAAAAAATCTTTCAGGCCCCGCATTGATAGTTTACCCATCTTTCAGACTTTGTATTGATAAAACTCCTTTATTTTTTTTATTAGATCCTTTCCTTTTCATTTTTCTAATTGTTTATTAAGCAATTATTATTAAGGCATGCTTGTTTATAAATTAATCGAGTCGGGTTGTTTTGGTTAATCATGATTAATTTTGAAAAAAGTTGTATGTTTAATTGTTAGTAGGATTTTGAATATACATTAAAATAATATTTACAATAAAATAATTAAAGTGATTTGATGTGAAAGTAGAGGAGAGATGATCTGAAGTGATAGTTAGTTAAAGTTATGTAAATAAATAAATAGTGAATTAAAGTTGATGTAATGTGCAAAAATCATTTCTTAAGCTTTATTTCATTATATGTAAGAAAATAAATTATTATCAAAATTAATATAATTTACCAATTGAGAAATAATGACCAAATACATCAAATAATTTTACTAGTGGTTAAAAATTAAAATAAAATATATTAATTGTTTTTTAGAATTTATTTGTATATTATTGGCAACCATGCTTATTTTTTTATCGTTTTTTATTTTAATTTCTTTCTATAATAAAATTTTTATAAAATATATTTTCATTGCAAAGTATGCTAAATAAATTATAAATCCTTACAATGTAAATTAGAAAAATCATGATTATAGAAGGGATTGAGTTTTTGGCATTTGCTAATCAAAGTTGTTTAATTAGTGTACAAAATTAAATTTTGAAAAAACGTGTGTGCATATTTTTTAAAATATTTATACACTATTTAATTTTAAATTTATTTACATATTCTAATTTAATTTTATAAATAAATAATACTAATGTGCATTAAATATTTTTTCATTAGAAAAATAAAAAGAAAAAAAAAGGTGTTTGTGCATGCTTGGATACAAATTCAATCCAAAAAAATCTAATCATTTTAACTCAACCACTTTTATTAACTCAATTTCAACTCAACCCACTATCATCTATCATTAATATTATCAATATAATTAAATAATATCAATCAATCATTTTTACACACAACATCAACCTTAATTTACTATTCATCTACTCACATAATTTTAACTAATCATCACATCACATCTTCTCTCTCCTACTTTTACATCAATTTAATTTTAATTATTTTATTTTAAAAATTATTTTAATATACCCACTAACAATTAACTATACCAACTTTTTCAAATTTAATCAATCCAAACCAAAAATCCAATCAAAACAAAACAAATTTATATCCAAACATGCTAGTTTAGCATGTTCAATTTTTTGGAAAAATATATACTTTTTTTTATATTGAAAAAGCTGATTGAATGTTGAAACGTGTTGACTACAAAACAAGATAATTAAAGTAAGATTTGAAATGTCTTTCCACAATTTGAAACATGTGAATGGATACTCAGTGATTCAGGTTGACAGTGACACTATATTTTTAGTTTGCCACCCATTATAATAATGGCTACAGATAATATTTTTTATGGTAAAAATATATTTTTAATCATGCTGGTTTAACCTAGTATTTTTAGTCTCACAATTCAATTTTTTATTTTGTAATCTTATAATTTAGTATTTTGCTGTAATTTTATTCATTTAGGACTGAAATTGTAACAAAATTTAGAAGTACAAGACTTAAATTAATAATTAAAAATTCATCCAAAAGACTTTTTATTAAGAATTTAACTCATGTAATTTTTTTTTCCTTGTATTTTCAGTCCCAAATGACTGAAAATGCATTGAATTTTAAAATCATAGGACTAAATAGTAAACATATCCAATTTTTAGAACTAAATGTAGCATCAAACTAATAGAACTAAAGTTATCATCTTGCCTATTTTTCTTTTCTATGATAAAATGATTGTTTGCACTTTTTTTTGTCTCGAGGATCTTTGCCTATGATTTTGACTTATAATTTTATAAATCAACTCATTTGATTTCAGAACGAGGACCTTCTTTATGATTCTCAAGAATAAACCTCTTTCTAATCTAACAACTAATTTCACCCCGTGTATTTGCGCGAAAAGCGATATAATAAAAGAGAAGGTAATTAACAATATAGATTAAAATAAAAATCATAACTAATAAATGAGGAAAAAACAATTTAAAAGGGTAAATCTAAATATTATTAAATAGTTCTTTATATACAACATTCGTGGTTTTCCTATCGTTAGAAGTCATATCACAACAAATCATTATCGTTAAACTTTTTGACTCGTGACTCTAGGATTTGATTATTCAAAATATTTGATGTGTCTTTGTAATATTCGATTTTTTTATTAGTATTGTATGAGTGCAATAGAAAATAGAGGTATTTGTAGTCACCTTCATTAGTTGTGAAATATGTATTTATATAATACCAAAAGATATATAATATAAAAAAATTGTGTATTTCATGACATAAAAGGGTGTTACAAAAATGAGCATCATAAGAAATGAGACCTGTCAAAAGAATATTGTAACTGAAAGTTAATAATTTTTATTAAATGATGAACATATTTTTATTAAATAAAATTCTATTTTTATTAAATGAACTCATATTATTATTAATTGCTGGCTAAATAAAATTTTTTGAAGCTTGCCAACAACTATATATACTAGTATTTGATTCTCTGCATTTGCACAGATATAAAACACGTTTTTGTTTGTATTTATTAATAAACATGTACTTCTATCTTATAAAAATGATTACTTTTTCTTAAGTTATTTTTATCATTCAAAATTAATTGATATTTAAATTTTATTTTAATCATGTAACGTTTACATTAGTAACATCAATAAAATAATTTATATATTTGTGACATATATTAAGAAAATTAACGTAAATAAAAAAAAATTATTGGTGTTTCTGATTTGAGAAAAAATTGTGCCAATCATATTTTTTTTAGAATGCAACCAAATATAGCGGTTACAGCTCTGAATGTGCCAATCAACTTTAAGTTCCAACATTAGTCGTTACACATTGAATATTTTGCTACCAAATTTAGAATTAATTTAATAACTAATCCCAAAAATAAATAATAAAAATATATATATTAAGGTGTAACGGTTTTAGCAGATTAGTGAGTAATTAATTAAAAAAATGTAACTCTTTTTGGAGGGAAATGAAAATAGGTTTTATTAAATGTTTTATTAAATGCATGCAAGTAATTATATATATATATATATCAATGTAATGAAACAACTACATAATAAAACAACATCACGACCCGTGTCACTAGGCACACGAGTCGTGTGAAAACCCCGTGGCCAATTCTCCATTCTCCTCACCCCACACGACTCGTGTCACTGACCACACGAGTCGTGTGACCTGCCTGCACCTTGTTTTTGCTCTTTTTCGTCCCGATTCCATCTTTAACGCTTTTCCGGGCATATTTCCTACAAAACCAATGACAAATACACTTGTATCATAGATTAATAAATAAAACAAAATGGTGCAC